AGATTTCTAACAAACCAAGACCTCGTTACGGGAAATCTGCGTCAAACATTACACTAAATCACTCATGAACACCCAAGTGTGCCACTCATTTTGGTTGTTGCTGTCCCTTTTCACATCCTTTTAACTGCTGTATCATACTTCTGAGTTTTACGTAATTTTTGACACACTATGGTTATGTGGTTGCTGAATATCCACCTCTCGGGGTGTATAAAGCCATTCCTTGACGTGACGATAGGAGCTCAAAAATGTTGAGGGGGAAATCTGGAGGAACGAGTACAAAATCATATAAAAACAACAAGCAAGAGTTCCCTATAACAGATATATATAACCTGGATACCCTCGGGGTAAGCAGAGCTGAATGCTACCAGGCGCGTCCCCCGTTTGTGGATAGGGGGATATTTTCACAGAAGAAGGTTAGCTGTGAATAAGTTGTGGCATATCGCAACAAATAAGCAGTTGCGAACAAACAGCCGCGGCACTACCACGGTGTGATGGGTTTCAGGCTGATCACCTGGCTCCTGTTTAAAAGCCGCATAAACCCAATGACGGTGTCGTGACAAAGGTCGATGTGACTGGACTTTTAAAACTAAAAGTCATTGACCCCCCCTCGTTTCCGAGGCGAGGGATTACTTCCTGTCTTACAGTTCACACATGGTTGTGCAAAGGCTAGAGGTGCACCCTCAAAATAGACAACGCTGAGTGACGCTGGGGACCTCTCTCTCACCAAACTCCCAAGGAACTTCTTGATCATGCCTAGAGCCGGTTTATCCTTCCAAGGAGCCAGCCGCAGTAAAGCAAAGTAAGATATAAGTTCTTAGAGGAAAAGCTGTGGGAACGAATGAGATGTGAACAGGTGGTAGTGACTCGGATGGCGGCAGAACCTTCCATCTCCCTGATCGTTTTTTATTACACCTAAGGGTGATGAACAACAGACGGGGCGAACCCCATAAGGCCTCGACATGTTAGGCGTGGTAAGGAACTGGACGACAGCAGAACTGCCTACCACTAAAGTCGGGTGGCAGTTGCGGGGCTCAAACCTCGGACCACAGGGTCTGAAGCACGCTGATGACAGCGACTAAACCACTGCACCACTACCACCATCCTACAAGTCACCACAAAACCATTGACGGCCTTTTTAGAACAGTCATCGTGTGAGTTGCATAAGTTGAGCCTGCTCTAAGATAGTCTACTACGAGACGGCACTCAACTAGTTTATACGTTTGTGACCTGTCGAGTTGTAAAACTTCGGGTCTCCTCCAACTCTCACCGACTTCTCAACACGCGCCGGGTACTCCCGACAGACAGCAAGTTTAGTGAACAGCCTCTTTCTCTGAAGCGTTGACCCACAAAGAGCTTGAGGGCCGACCGAGAAGTCTGGTGGGTGCTGGATAATTCAGTGTAACACAATGATTCAGGATAAGTTCTATATACTGCAAACTTGACGAAATCCCCGTTTACTGTCTGTTTTGATAGTGCTTGCCAACGTTTAAACCATCCTGTCACACAAAAATTCCTCGATACATCATGTATTTAAGTGTTAAATCAACAAACCTAATTCATTTTGAATGCTTTCCTATTTACTCTTCCATATTGCGTATTGTGTCGTATAAGGGCAGGGCTCACTATCTTTATTGTATACCGCAATCATTGTTTACTTCTCAAAGATTGATGTTTCAGTAGTGTATGACTAACTGAAATCAACTTGCTTCCTGAGACACTGTCTCAGCTGGTTTCAATACTTTAAGTTATGCGCTCCAGATTTGCGATGATTTTCAGAAAAGCTTGTGAATAATACAGTGTTGTTGAACAAAAGTTGTGTTGCTAAACGTTCCGGCCACCTCGGATGATCTTTGTCGGGAAGCGGCGAATCGGTTAATGATCAGAATCCGTATTGTCTCAATCTTGTTGATTCTGGTTACTTACTGATGCTTGGCTTGCGGAATAACGATTCCAAACTGATACTCTGATCGTTGTGATAAAACCCAGTCCACTTATCTTTTTCAGCCTTCTCGCTCCTTGTCCCACGCATCCTTGGTCGCTTTGGTGTTGCAGAGCATTTGAACACTTACCGGATGGTTGGCTCTGTCAGTCGTCTGTTTGCCGCACGGCATATTCCCTGCAGTTGGTTTCGTACCCTAAAATCTTGTCGCATGATCCCGAAATCAGAGTTCGCCTTCCGGCGACAGAAACTGGTTGCAGAAATAGTGCACGGTGTTTCCCGCACTTCGAATTCAGCTTCTAAACACTTGGTCGTGCTACCTTCGTCTGAAGTACAGTACATGGCATATCACATCCCGTACCCGTTTCTTCAGGATTCCAACTTCATGTATTTGACTGGTTTGAAGGACGTAACAGGCGCTTTGATTTTCCAATTGACCATTGAACCCAGTGTAAAGAATGACCCTAGTTACACATGCGAAGAGTATTTATTCTGTGAATTTCGGACTCCTCGTGAGGAAATATGGGACGGTCCAAGCATGTCGGAGTCCATCATTTCCGATCTCACGGGCATTCGTTCCATCAGCCCATTGCAAGAGTTTCCTATATTTTTGAAGCATAACGCTAAAAATGTTATGCTTTGGTATGCACCGCTTGTGGATGGTGACGGTGACAAGAAGCCAATAAACAAATTTGTTCTGTCGGAGATTTTGGAAATCAACGAGACTGTGCGTAAAAAGACCCGAAATCCACAACCATTTATCGATGCGCTGCGGTTTGTCAAGTCGGAAAATGAAATTCGTTGTCTTCAACTTGCAACTGCCACAACGGCAGAGTGTTTGAAGGAGACTATGAAAGCATCATACTGTGGAATGTCTGAAGATTTTTTACGGACCAAACTGGAATTTGAGTCTCGACTACATGGATGCACACTCGGATATCCCCCGGTGGTGGCTGGCGCTGATCGGGCTAATGTAATTCATTATTTGTGGAACAGTCAAACCATCGAAGATGGAGATCTTGTTCTGGTCGATGTCGGCTGTCGTATGGAGGGATACACAGCCGATTTGACTCGAACATGGCCTGTCAACGGTATGTTTGATCACCTCTTCCGTCATGATACTCGTTTCACGAACCCAGACCACAAATTTTAGAGTTGGACTCACTTTGAAAGAATATTCTTGGGAGTAAATAAAGCTGGTCAAAGTAAGGGATAAGAACAGTACTGGTTTTTATCTGAACAGTTCAGTTTTAGTCTATACAACCATTAATCATGCATTTTCGTGCGACGGTTTTTCTGCTGTCCTTCGGCCACCCGTTGGAATGAAAGAATAGAGAAAATATTGGATTGTTGAAAGCAGTTTCAATCCCAGGAGGCCTAATGCGACCCGTATAATCGGGTCTCCTAGTCCGGGTTTTCATACCCTCATTTAGAGTTTGATTTTGACCTTTCTGTGCTTTTCTCTCTTTGACTACCAGTGCATTTGGCATGATAATGAATCACTGACAACGAGCTTTTTCGTCATTTTGTTTTATTTACAGGTATTTCCCCTACCTTCCAAAGTCCATTTCGGTACTTCTAGAAGTCAGCCTCATTGCAGAGAATCGTATTTAATCGGATAGCAGGTTTTGGAAATTTTTTCTTTTAGGTACCAAAATAGAGTATAGGATATGTTATTGCAATTAAATCACAACTTGGTCACAGATCATTTATATTAATGGTTCCGCTAGCTCTGTATTATATCGAAAGATATCATCCAGTTGAGGAGTACTATGTTTTCCATCGGGACTTGAACTTCATCCCGGGTTGACTGTGGATTGCAGAAAGTTCACTTTTTAACTGCATAAATTAAGCCAAAACAGATTTCATACTCGCAGTAGGGTAGATCGCCACATTTCGGACGAGGTACAGTAGAGAGAAATATCTGTGGAACGAATGGAAAGTATACAATACAAAAAAACAATACTTACACAGAGGGTGATAGATTTCCAAGTTTAGACAGATACGGGCATTGTAACGAATGATGGTATTTCATTATGTGGTCCTCCTACGTGCCGAGGTAAGCCTAACTCTGGAACGAATGGGTGAAATGAGGTGCATATTTATTAGGATGAATGTGCAAGTCATTATATTCATTAGACAATATATGACCGTTGAATCCGTTCGACGCACCAAACTGTTCTTGGGAATACCACTACAACGGGAGTGAAGTGAGGATTGTCTTTTTCATACCTGGGGCAAATATGATGGAGGATATAACCGATAATGAAGAATACACGCTATTATTTAGGTTCGTAACCAGGAAAACCGTCAGATTTCTAGATCTGAAAGCGTGGAAGTACGATCTAAGAATGCTAATATAAGGGTTTTCAAAATTATGGGTCTGGGAAAGCTCGTATGATAAGGTGACTCCGAGGTATTTCACTTAGGGAACACTAGTTTTATCAACAAGTTCTGACAGATTTATGACAATCGGAGCTTTCTAAATGGAACATAGACACGTCTATTGACGTTGAACCTGAGAATCGGAGTGCAAATTTCAGCACTCATGGAGTTGATGGAAACTGTGAAAACCGGTAAAGGAATAGACGATTGGCACGCCGTCAGTTTCCTTTCAGCGATGAAGTTGATACGGATGGGAAATTTACGAATCGAGGGCTTATCCTAATCTAAATATTTTGTGTTGTCCTCATCAATCGCTTTTGAGTGACAATATTTCTTACTTTAGTACCCGCCTGAAGTATTCTTTTTGTTTCGAGTCTTGAAGAGGTCCTATCCTTATGCCAGGATATTGGCATAGATTTGCTCCCAGATGGTAGACTGTTTGATCCGGAGTATGCAGACGACATTGTGCTGCTAAGTGAAGATCCAGGATAGTTGGATCGTTAATTTACTCATGTTCGGTGTGCGTTTTGCACCTTTAAAGTGTAAAATGTTGCTACAAGATTGGGTTGGTCTAACCTCACCCTGACTGAGGAAGTAGCAGAAGAAGTAGACAAACTTTGCTATCTTGGCAGCTATATCTCACATAGCGGACGCAGATGAAGTGTCGGAACGCATACAAAAAACTCGGTTTACATTTGTCAGCTTGAGACATTTGTGGCGCCGTAGCGCCATCTGATTGTCTGTGAAGAGTCGAGTGTATGGCGCGGGAGTTCGGCCAGGTCTGCTATACGGTGCAGAAACCTGTCCATTACGAAGACAGGATAAAGATAGATTGTCGGTGTTCGAACACTGCTGTCTACGTCAGATCGCATGAGTCCGGTAGGGAAACTGGAAAAGCAATGCTGAGGTTAGGCGTAGAGTTTTATGTGATCGAAGTTGTCCACTGGAACATGTGCTATGCATGCGACCAAATCTGTTGCAATGGTGCACGACTTTTCCCTGGACAGGTAGTGGGCGGTCAAAGTCAGACTTGTTGTGAGGGAATGAAAACCCTAACCAGGAAACTGTCATATAGGTCCCGTTAGGCACCCTGGATCGGGACCGCGAGATCATGGTCACCGGTGGTTGGAGACACCAAGTGATATGACTGAATGTCGCAAACAGTGGTGCTTGTGCATCTGATCATTCTTCTTTCATCCCCATTCTGTATGAATTCTCCATCTTCTCATTAATTCTGCTCTAAACATCCCAATATCCAGTCTGCTCTTTTATCCGAATGGGCGACCAAAACCAGTGCACGAAAGCACATGGCTGTAAAAACTGAAACCGGTCCCAAATTTGCTTATTTCTACAAACAATGACTATCAATCGCTCGAAACCACGACTATTTTTGCCTTGGTAGTATTTGCTCCAAATTAATCACCTCCATAACGCGTTATAAGGTCATTTCAAACCCACCCGTTCTTACTGTATTGTTTTAGCAGTCAACATTTTTTATTTGGTTTAACATTCGCAATAACCTCGCTAGTTCAACACTGCAATTGAATGACCCCTGGCCAACAGCTTTTGGTGGTTATGGTGCTCAATAAAAACAGACTTGTGAACCTCATCTGATGAGATGGACATCTGGTAAACTGAGTCTTTTTTGTCACTTTGTTCATGCCTTAGGTCATTTCTCGCCAGTGCAGCTTGTGCTCTATGAGATATTAATGGAGACCCTGAAAACATGTTCGAGTATGGCCACTCCCGAAAGAAGCTTGAGTGATTTACACAACATCATGTTGCGAGAGCTGCGGCGACATCTAGAGGACGAACGAATCATACCCCAGACGAACAGTTTTTCAGTAAGCGTTCTTTCAAGTTTCTTCTACTTTTGTTATTGTTGAGCTGGAATATTCGGAAAGAGATGTTATTACACTTGCTTTTCTGTAGTTTGAAGCTAGTGGATTATTAGCACCCTGTTAGGCCGTCCCGTTTTCATTGGTATTCCTTTTCGAAACTGATTCAAATAACCAGCGTGCACATGTATAAAATTGCCTACTGTATTGTACTTCTTTTGCTTTCTACGATTAACTCTTAGACAGAAGATGAAAAGGCCTCCTTTATTACTTGAATGCCGGTTTTCCCGGAGTAGCGGTGCAGATAGTGATCCGAACAAGGTTTCTTCGTGGGCTCCACTGGACGAGCTTACACCTATGCGTTTCACGTCTGACTTCGCGATATTCACCGGTGTTCAAGCTGTGTCGTCGATGCACATGGAAGAATCATAGGGATGCGACAAGAAATGTCATGCCAGCATCATTATCCCTCTCATTTTACGGGCACCCCTGGCCTCTGCGCAAATATTGCGAATTGCAACGCCGAAACGGTTCTAAGCATCACCTGGGTTCCCCTCGCATTTCGAACGGTTTACCAAGGTATGGCTGTCCTACACTTAGAAGTGAGCACGTGCAACTGTCATTTTCAAAGTACAGGTGATCATGAATAAAAGCCCGATGAGCGAAAGACCACAAGGTGGTCCTAGGACAAACCAGTTTCAGTTTTTGCAACCATTAACTGTGCACCGGTTTTGGTTGCTGCCTCATAACTTCCCATTTGTATGAAGGAATAACTGAAAGATTGGAATGTTCAAGTCTCTATCAGAATGAAAATACAGAATTTGTGAAGGCTACGACTACAAATATAATGAATAGACGCATGACCGCCACTGTGTGCGACACTCAACTGTATGACTTTGCGTCTCCAACCGTCAATTATGACGAAACCGAGATCCCCATCCAGGGAGCCTAACGCTACCTATATGATAGAGTCTTGTGGCTAAGGGATTTAATATCACAATTGAGGTGATGATAACAGCAATGGACCACAAGGAGGTTCGGTGCATCTCTGGGGTACAGTGAAATTTCCAGTTTACTTTGAATTCCTAATCAGACATCTCTTTCATTGCTGAGCATAACTACAGAGGTGCTTTTCTCGGACGACATGCCTGCATACTGATTCTTTATAATACACCATTTGGCCTCCGAAAACCTCAGTAAGATCGCGAGCATGTCTTGGATTGTGAT